ACTGATGGTGTTAGTGGGCATTATAGGGTAACTTGTAGTTTCTTGGTCCTTTTTACTTTTTATAAATATGTACATGTGCACATAATTGCGGGAGCTGGCAACAGCAGTTTATGGAAGTAGACAAATAATTCACTATCCGAGAGAAGCAAGTACTGGGCCAGTAATTTGTATCAGGAATGCCTTTACAGGAGGTTCAATCCTGCGTTGGCTTATATTCTCAGGCCCATGTCCCGAATTTTTATCGCTTTGCGTATCCTCCTCCGCCTGGCCCGATGCGACTCAATTGCAAGGACGCGAACCTCCATAAATGCTGAGTCACCAGATGGCAGTACCTCCCTGCTATGGTGAAGCCAGAAGGGCACATACTTTGGTATTCTCAGACATGGTCTCTTTTGACGCATGACATTTCCTGATTACTAGTAGTAGTACTCTGTTCAGAACCTGAACAAACTGTTAGGTCCCCATCTTCTGCATACTGTTTCTTAGCACAACCTTTCTCTTGCTTGTCTGCACCCAGTACGCAAAGCTTGACGAGTTCCTGCATACCAGATGCTTGTGCACCTGTATTGGTCATAGGCACTCAGGCCTTGTCTCTCTGTCCCTTCCCTTCTTGTTTCCCCAAAACAAAATATCTTCAACGTTCTCACCTCTCCCTACTCCAGGCTCAAGAAACACCATTGCACAAAGCCTGTGAATACGGCAAGCCGGAGGTTCTAGAACTTCTGCTTCGAGCGGGTTCAGATCTTCTCGCCTTGAGAAATGTAAGTCACACTTTTAGTTAAATTGGCAGCGTGGAAATAACAATCATGATATGCCGATGAATAAAATCAAGTGCGCACTCGTATCATAAACATTGCATGCAAACATGTTTTATCTTAAAGGGGAACTCCACGGAAAACGAAACTTTCGTATCCTGTAGTCTCGGGTGCTGACTCGAATGGTCTTGGTCCGAAGTGTCTACGGCAAAGGGTTCTTGAGATATTGGCGAAAACGGGTTCCGCGCCGTGACGTCATGCGGCCATTTGGCTATGTCATCCCGGCCTGCCTACGTCATTGTGGCACGGTCTGAATCTAGGTGCACTCTTTTAGTATTCAATTTCAAGGAAAAATGAGCTATTCCGAACAATTCTTTGTACCCAGCAATGAAGGCAGTGATGCTGAGGTCAGTGAAGACCACCATCAACCCACCCCCGCGTATGGTTGGGGCAGGGAGCCCAGATACTCTGCTAAGGAGCTGCCATCGCGTGTAACAAATGTTGAGGAAGAAGATGCCTCAGCAGCTGCGTTCGACAGAAGAAGACGAGTAGCTTGGCCACCAGACTCTCGATTCGTTTGGGACTCCGACTGGTGCGAGTGTGGACAAAGCCATGCCCAGCCCGCGGGAATTATTTTTCTGGTAGGATGCTGCCGTCGCTGTCGGCCCAAGGTTTCTTGCGTAGCGGACTTCGCAGTTAACGAGATCGTAACCTTGCATTAGGCTGTACCCACCACTGCTCTTCGAAATTATCTTGACATGCAGAAGCCGCCAATGCCAGTGACAGAAGAGTCTGAAATTAGGTAAGCCTCAATTAGTTTGTCTTGACTTGCCTTGTGAGGATCGCGCACCAATATGATACGATAATATTTTTTGGAGAAAATTTATTATTGTCAGGTGCACTACAGTAGGCGTCGCACAAGAAAAAAATGTACTCAGGGTAGTTATACCAAATTTCATGCATGACACGAACAAATTCTCTTTGCTCCGAGTATGTCTTGACTTGCCTTGTGAGGATCGATGCGCGTAATGTTTTGTGTGTAACTTACTTATTGTTGTGGCACGAAAAACGGTGTACTATAGTGCTAGTAGTTATCACAATCATGTTTTCATGTGATAACTACTATGTGTGTGTGTCGTGACTCAAACACATCAATTTTGTGTTTCATTATCCCTGGGATTGGTACAAGATCTGAAAGTATGGTAGTGTTCTGTTGATGAGGAGAGCACTGCACACAGTTTATGAGCAGGATACGTGCATTTGATCACACCCGAACCCATACTGTATCGTTTCACGCGATAGGCTTTGTCAATACACCCGTTCTCTAGTATACCATGTCATGCAACGTACAAGCGTGGGGTTAAGAAAGCGTACACCAAAATAATGCACAAATTCTGGCAAGAGAGTAAGACATCAGATTCTGTACTTTCTGACCAAGACATCTTTGTACTAGTAGGTTATCGAACGTGTCCTAATCAGAATCCATCAATCATTGGAAATTCTGCAAGAACCTCCATCTTTGTACCAGTGGACACTAAATTATTATGGCGCGCGCACTGAATGTGCAAGTAGGTACCGGTAGGTGTAATTCAGCGCATATGTAGAGTAAATGAGTATTATTTTGACTATAGTATAGCCACTATACCATACCATAATAATTATTACCGTCCAGCAGGTGGTATGTGTACAAGCACTCAGCATACACACTCCGCATGACATTCTATGTTTCTGTAGATCTCTACGCTATGCGGCACACAGGCAGTACACACTGTATGTACACGGCAAATTGGGCAAGCACGTTTGTTGTCGTCTTCCAGCCTGCGTTGTGAATACCATCATGCAAAGATATCCAAATCCTGCACCACCTCAGCCTCCTCAGGAGACTTCCACCCGGCATTAGGCAGGGAACGCGCTTCTCCAAGGCAGGAACATCGAGGTTGCCATTTGCAACCGCTACCACCTCACACATGAACTTGTCATCAATCTCATAACTCTTTCTGTCGTATAATTATCTATTTGGCCACATAGTCTTCTTTATGCTGTGAGAACTGGACTTCATACCTTCCTATCGGGGTCTTTTTGGTTGTGCTGTGGAGACGGTGACATTGACGTCGTCAAGAGCTGCGAGATGTGCGTGTCCACTCATTCCCAGAATTGAGAAACGAGTGCAATTCAGAATGTATTTTGGCATGGCACTGTAATATACCTGCATGGCGAAAAGAATGTCGAGAAAACACACTTGCTTAGACAATATACTTCTATATGTGTTACAAACCACCAGTTCTCAAGTGGGAAAGGCCTTCTGGCTTATGACATTGTATTCGTTGCGATGTTGTATCTCGACTCCGCCGTACTGCTGATGTTTGCTGCATTGCGTACGCTATTTGCGCTGTGTGAGTTTTGCTGTATACGCTGTCATGTCATATGTTTTACATGTGTATGCTTTGATTATACATGTACGCTCTTTTGGCATGCTATAAATAGCTGGTGTTATTAGTGTTAGATTCAATGGAAGTCAAAATATACTGTTGAGAATCAATAGTTGTCCTCGTGCCATGTTGTCATTCGTTTCTGATACTAAAGAGAACCAGAGGGTTCATTACAGTTTGCGACCACGCCAGGATACGGAGCGAGCATGGCAGAGCAACTACATAATTTGGAAGCCAGCTTTATCGCCAATGGAGTTTGGTTAGGATTGGAAGGCGATGAGTTGAGGGAACATTTGGAGCAGAGGCTCCGACAGTACGAGGAGCGTGAGGAGCGCAGTGCCAGACGGCGAGAGGAGGCGCTCTGCACCGAGTTTGAAAAAAAGCTCAAGGAGATTAAGGAGCGCATCGCCAAGGCGTATGAGGGTGAGGGCAAAGTCGCCACTGAGAGTGAGATGGGAGGTACAGCGGAAGCTCCCAGTCACAGCAGTGGGCGTAAACCGTTCATGAAAATCATCTTATATGATGGAGCGCAGTCAGGAGCGTTATCTTGACCTGTTCGAGGACATCTGTTCCAAGAACGGGTTCGAAGAAAGCAAATGGCTGCTACGATTACGCATCACGCTAGCAGGTAGCAAAGCTGAGAGGATGTGTATTGGATGCAATAATTACGAGGAAGCAAAGTGAGAGTTGCTTGCCTTGCTTGGAAAGATTCCGGATAAAGCGTGGAAGACATTGCTGACAGGCAAGCAGCGGTCAGATGAGTCTTTTCACCAATACGTTGTTCGTGTTTGCCGAGAGGTAGAGGTAATACATGACTTGTAGGACGGAGCAGGTTACAGCCGGGAGGAACCGACTGAGATAGTAACGGACAAGAAGGTTGGATCGTGCTGTCTACACTCAGCAAGTGTGCGGCTGATGACCGGAGTGGCACGAGTTGAGGGAAGAACTCGAAAGGGGAAGGTTCTCGTGTTCCTGGACTCCGGTGCTGAGGCGTCATTTGTGACTGCAGCGTTGGTGTCAGCAATCGATGCAGAACACGTTGGTGCTGAAAATGTAGAGGTGAAGCCGTTCGGAGCAGAGCCAACCCAACAGCGCATGGATAAATACGCCATCACAATCCAAGGTAGCTCCGCTAGCATTCCGGTACGCGTGCTCGTGAAACCAACGCTAGAGCTAGACCTGAAGTGCGCGAATCTGCAGACCATTGCTCAGTGGCACAGTTGGGGAGTAGAGCTGAGTGACAATCCTCAGCAAGAAACAACAGACGAAATACACATGATGATCGGTGCAGAATATATCAACGCGATACAGCACAGCAAGAAAGAAGTTAATGGCGAGACTGTGTGGAACACAGAGATCGGTAGTGTAGTATCTGGTCCAGCGTCTGACCCCAGTCGAAACAGTCAGCCGGTGACCGTGTCATGTGTCACAGCCCATATCGACAAACTATGGCAGTTGGATCAACCTCCAGAACGAAATCAGCACTTGCCATCTTTCCCGCTATGTCGCCAGGGCGCCGGGTTCCAAGTGGGTCTCTTGTGGCGAAATGAGCGTCGCCCAACGGATGACTATGCTCAAGCTAGAGTCATCGCAACGCGGCTTCTGGAAAAGCTGAAGCGGAATGGGAAGCGTACACTCTATGATGATATGCTGATCAGGGACTACCACGCGCTTTGAGCAAATTAGTTGGAGCCATGTGAGAGCGATGCCGGGCACTATGCATCATGGTGTATTCCGCAAGCACGCTGCAACCACGAAGTTAAGAGTGGTGTTCAATGCCTTGGCGACGGCTCCAGATGGCAAGTCATTGAACGACATGGTTGACCCTCGACTGTCGCTATTGCCGAGTCCCGCGGGTATGCTATTAAGGTTCCGTGAATATAAGAGCGCGCTGCAAGCGGACATCCGCAAGGCTTTCTTCATGGTCAAGGTTAATCCTGAAGACTGTCCGTACCTGCGTTTCTTGTGGCCCGGTCGAAGCGACAGCGACGAACTGTTAACCTGGAGGTTAACGAAACTGCCATTTGGCGTAAATTGCTCGCCATACATGCTTACTGCGGTGATTCAGCATCACTTCAAGGAGCTACGTGCGCTGTCTGCACCCAAAGAGCGAGACCGTATTGATCTCTTGCTCACGAGTTTCTACGTTGACGATTTGGTCTCTAGTGTCTCAAATGCCCCGTAAGCCAAGAAGATGCAAGAGTTCAGTGTGCGTGTGCTTACAGATGCTGGCATGGAGTTACGCAAGTGGCGAGGCAACGAAATCCCGTGCGACCCAGAGGCCGGAGATAAAGTCCTCGGTCTGAAATGGAAAACCATTGATGACTTGCAGCGCTAGGCGAGTCCGATAGGCCACCTGTTTGGACCCGGCGATCCCTCCTTAAGTGTGTTGTGTCAGTGTCTGATGCGGTAGGTCTAGCAGCACCGGCAGTTGTGCCGGGAAAGATACTGGTACAGCAAGCCAGAAAATTCGGAGGCGACTGGGATGATAAGTTGCCTAATGGCATCGCAGCCGCATGTGCGCAATGGTGGCGAGAGTTGGCCGAAGTGGTGAGCATTGACATACCACGTTGGATTTGCTGCAATCTTGACATGCCGATTGCGCTTCATGCCTTCGCGGATGCCAGTGAGAAAGCGTTTGGATGTTCTTTGTATGCAGTCGTCAATGGACAGTCGCTCTTGGTATTTGCCAAGGCCAAAGTGGCACCGGTGTGTCCGCCCACGATAGCCCGCCTTGAGTTACAAGCAGTATGTCTAGCGGCTCGCTACGCTGAGTTTGTGGTGAAGGAGCTGCGTGTGACCGTCACGCAAGTCTATGGCTGGACTGACAGTCTCACTACCGTTCATTGGATCAGTAATCCATTATACAAATGGAAACAATTTGTGGCTAACCGCGTCAGTCAAGTCCAAGAGATATCGAAGAAGGTCGGCATTGTGTGGAACCATTGGAACCACCGGGCCTTCACAACCCAGCAGATTTACCGTCACGTGGGAGTAGTGCACAGCAGATCCGTAGCCCGTTCTGGATGGGTGGACCAACCTCGATCACGGAGCCCAATGACTGGCCCACCGCATCCTTAACCGCAGCTACAGATGAGTCCAGTGTAGAAGTGTGAGTGTCAGCCACCATCTGTAGTCGAGAATCTGATAATGAATAGTGGCTCCGATTCAGTAAGTAGGCGAGGGCACAGGGCACGGTGACTCAGATGTTGCAGTGGAAGCACACTGAGCCTCGTGCCGAACTCTATTTTGCAGCAGACAATGTATTGTACTGCATCGTTCAAGCCGAATGTTTCGCTGAGGATCTTGAGCTGATCAAGCAAGGTCAACCAGTGAAGCCTGGGTCGAAGGTGTATCAGCTTGCATCGTTTCTGGATGAGCATGGAGTGCTCAGAGCCGGGGGACGACTTCAGCACAGCGAGTTGGCGTATGAAGCCAAGCACCCAGTCCTATTAGGCAAACATCATCTGACCGAGTGCTGTTGGAGAAAACGCATGTCGAAAGGATGCACGAAGGTGTAGAAGGGGTCTTGTGGTACATCCGTCAGAAATTCTGGATTATCGGTGGTCGACGAGCGCTACGCAACATTACTCAGCGATGTGTTACATGCCGCTGCTACAAGGCTAAGGCTGCCTCAGAAGTCTGCTCGCCACTGCCAGAAGACCGAGTTGTTCACGAGAGGCCGTTCGCAACTACCGGCATCGACTATGCTGGTCCGTTGTACGTGCACTGTGGCGAGTCATCTCCGAAGGTATGGATAGCATTGTTTGTGTGTGCCACCACTAGAGCAGTTCACTTGGAGGTGCTCGATAGGTTTTAAAGTACTGACTCATTCTTGATAGCATTTCGGAAGTTTGTCGCGAGACATGGTTTGCCATCTCGGATCAGGTCTGACAACGCTATAACGTTCAAGGCGGCATCTGACAAACTGAGTGTGCCATAGATATTCAATCCTCCAGCTGCGCAAAGGCATGGATGCTTCTATGGGCGAATGGTTGGTACGGTGACGAGTGCCTTGAAGAAGGTAATGGGAACAGCGTTTCTGAAGGTCCAGGAGCTTGAGACCCTCTTGTATGAGGTTGAAGCAGTGGTGAATAGTCGTCCGCTAACTTATGTGTCTGGATAGCCTGGATGAGCCACCAGTAACCCCTGCAATGATGATGGGTAACATCTGGATGTCGTCAGAGAAGCCAGCTGGTAGTCAGCTACAATCAAGCAAGGCAGGGATACTACAATAGTCAGCTACAATCAAGCAAGGCAGGGATACTACACCCTCCCTTCCTACAGATAATTATGCCCTCCTTATTTTCAAAAGTAGGCAGGTGGACCAATGTTCTGTCGTGAGACAGTATGTCTTGGTAGACTGGTAGACTTGGTACACTGATAAAGTAGGAACCCTCTGGTAAAATGTGTGAAGGACCTGTCTCTCTGTGGAGTGGTAAAATGTATGTGTTCGCGTCTCAGTATTGGATGGTAAAAGGGATGTGTTCGGTCGCGTCACCCTTATCTTGGGCACGGTAGCATTTTTTGATTCGCGTCTCTCTGGGACGGTAACATTGCTTGATTCGCGTCTCTCTGGGACGGTAATATTGCTTGATTCGCGTCTCTCTGGGACGGTACAACGGGAAAGGACTCGCTCACCATGTGGCGGTATAATCATTGTTGCATGGACTGGTTATTTGAGTGTGTTCTTCCAGGGTATACAGCATTTTGCGTCTGATCCAGGTCAGTGACTGCTGCTCCAGCAAATCGATTACTTGGTCTGTGCGGGGTGGACATGGTCGGGATGGGTAATGAAAAGGCTAGGAAACTTTGTTGACAGAACTGTGAGAAATCAGTTGTGTGGGAGCTTCAGTGGGACAAAATGTTGGGTGATCCAGAACTGTATACTGCATATATCTGCACGTACATGGAGGAACAGGGAGGGTTGTCAGTCCGATGCTTTTTTTTATCGAATGGTGGTACGGGGACTGGGAGTGGGATTGTCTGTGGGATGGAGTGGCTGATGGACCTGGAGAGCCTCGTGTATCAAGTGTAATGTGGCAAACAAACAAAAAGGGAGGGATGTGATCGTTGAGACAATTTTGGCAGCAGAACGAGTTAGTAAGGGAAATATGGCAGCAATGATCATGAGGATAGTATGGAAACTACCGTGGGATTGTGGAGCTTGCATAATACGCGGCGTAGCTTGCATGATAGGGGTGGCATATGCACTCACGTGAGTAACAGTTGCATTTAAACGGGGTGATGATAGAGTAGTGGTACAGCAAGTAGGGTGACATACCTTGGTTGCAGGGAATACGGGTCGTGTAGCGCGAGGACGATAGCGAGGACGATAGCGAGGACGATAGCGAGGACGATAGCAATACGCTATGTCATGGCCAATCTTCTTGCAGAATCGGCAATAGGGACGGAGACGTAAGGGCCAACGCCGCTTTGGTCGTATATATACCGGTAGTACAGGGGCATACCGGAGGGCATGAGATCTCGCTGGAGAATTATGGTGATCCACTTGGCCGGAACGAGTACGCCGCAGCTTCGATCTCCTGTGCGGATGGACTGTAGATCCGGGATTCTGAGTTGATCTCAGGTCGTCGTGGGTTCAGAAACGCGGTTGGGACCAATAAACTTTGTTTTCCGCTCATTGGTCGAGGAGAGTAGGAGAATACGCAGAAAGAAAATAAGTGAAAGGCTGCACTAGAGATGGGGTTCAAATCTGACAAAGTTTTAATCACCGCTGCGACCAATGTAATAGGTAGCCGAATGGAGGCACAGTGCTTAACATTAAATAACTTTTACTTAGCCTTCCTCAGGTACACACCTGGATTATTATATAAAAAATATATGAAAACAGAAATGAGCAGAAGCTTTTATAGGTAACATACTACATACGCTAATGTATGGGGATACGCTACAATTAAGCAAGGCAGGGATACTACAATAGTCAGCTACAATCAAGCAAGGCAGGGATACTACAATAGTCAGCTACAATCAAGCAAGGCAGGGATACTACAATAGTCAGCTACAATCAAGCAAGGCTACTACAATAGCCAGCTACAATCAAGCAAGGCAGGGATACTGCAATAGTCAGCTACAATCAAGCAAGGCTACTTCAATAGTCAGCTAAAATCAAGCAAGGCAGGGATACTACAATAGTCAGCTACAATCAAGCAAGGCAGGGATACTGCAATAGTCAGCTACAATCAAGCAAGGCAGTGATACTACATAAACAGTCAGGTAGGGCGACAACAAGATGCTAAACTGACTGAGGTACTGAGACATTGAACGACCTGACAACTAGCTCCAACGAATCTACGAATTGAAAAACACCAACCTTCTTATATCACTTGGAAGGCCCAATGAGGGGAAGGAAACGCAACAAAGATGTGCTCAAGGTATATCCCATTGGAGCAAAGAACGTCGAAAGCTACAAGATGATAAGGAGATTGGTAAGACCATTGGACAAACCGGTCTAACTACAACTCAACAACGCGAATCAACCAATGACGAATTACGTTATTTTCTCTGACCAATGCCATACTTGAAGTATGCATTTTATAGTACAATTTTCGGATCACGAGACATAGTTTGGCTCCGCTATTATGTGTTGAAATCTCAGGAACCGTTGATCGCAGCGCTTCCTGGATGGGTTCTACGGCACGCTGAGAGTTGTCTCTTCGGCATAGATAGTTGGATCGTTAAATTTAAGCTAGTTTTGACCGAGTTACCATGGTTACGGCCAGTGGAAGTGTGTGTGTAGAATTCTACACATTCAAGTATGGGGCGGCTCTCAAAAGGCTAATGGGAGTTGTGATAATTCTCAGAACGAGCATTAGAAAAGTCATTAGTTTCTTGAATCTGCAAAGTATTCAAAATCAACTGCTGTTCTGGTTTACAAAGCTATGTGAAATGTTTACTAAGAGGTCTGTTTTACTTTCTTGTTGATTGACCATTGTTCATTCTGTCAGGACAACAGGACATGTCTGGACAGTGCAGTAGCAAGTGATGACAGCGATTGCGCTGAGCCTGCGGCTAGACTAAGGGCAATTATCCGATATCTTGAGAGCAAGTACCCAGAGGAGCAGAAGAAGGTAAGCACAACTTAGAATAAAAGAAAATTCATCAAAATGAATTTCCCATTCGAAAACTTGCGTAACCAATGAGGTAACAATATCACTATATTCC